GTTCAGGGTCTCACTACTAGATCAGACTTGTAGTGATCCACCTGTTTAGAGCCTCCCAAGAGCTGGGATTACAGGCGTTCGCAACCATACCCAGTCTCAACAGCTGTCTCAGCGTGCCCCAGGGGCAGGGCCAGCATGGCACGCCTGGGGATTAAACCCCTGGCCCCTGTACCTGCTTGTAGGCATTTTAATCCACTGAGCAATTTGGCTAGTCCTTCTATAATATAGATCTTTGAGCTGAAAAAAATTCAAAAAAGTATTTGGAAGCAATGTTACTGTGAAGCTCTAAGATTTGAATATGTTTTATTAAAACATTTTCATGTATAATTATAAAATATTTTACCTTTCTCTAAATTCTAAAGTCTCACCTAAAACTTCTATGAGTTGTAATTGATTTATTGACCTGGGTATTTTCTAGTTTTTCCTTAGACATCATAAACTATATGTATATATGAAATGATGTTGCAGTTTATACAAACTTGCTACTTATTTCCTTTTATTTTCATCCCTTCATCCTCATGAAATCAATGAGTCATTTACTGAATACTCACTATGGACAGTCCATGAAAACAGAAGATTACCTATTTTTACAACATTTATAGATTTATGTAAGAAATTAATAAAAGAAGCATTTATAGTTTTCGGTTTACCTTGATTTCATTAAGGTTATTTGGATTTTTCACTCGTCGGAAATAACTAGAGTTGACTCTACATGGCTTCATCCAAACAGGTTGATTCAAGTTGGGATCCTCAGCAAATATTTCCTCAAAAATCTCTTTTGTTAAATCAAAAACCACCTTGATAGAGAAAAATAAAACAAAATGTCTAAGAAGTCAAATCCCGTAAGTGGAAAGAAGTATAAAAATTAAAATCATCCTTTCATGTGACATACCTGTTTGTAGACTCTTTTACTTGTGTTTTCTATATCTAAGCCCTTACTGGCATAGCCAAGCAGTTTGGTAGGAATACTGATGCTATGAAGGTCATGGCCTAATTCTTTCCATTTCCAAAGTTCTTCTGCTGCATCATGTACAAGAATTTCTACTTCTTCTGCAGTATGTGGGACTGCCAATAATGTTTCACATGGTTTTTGAGGTGCTCTTTTAGATTCTGCCATCAGAGGTACAATTGCTTCTTCTGCCTTACTTTTTTGGATCTTGTGAGAGGAGCTCAAACCAAAGTCTTCATCAAACCAGTCTTGGTCATCTCCTAATGTGCTCAGGAACTCCCGGCTGATTTCAAGTTCAGCAAGTCTCTTAGCAAGCTCTTCCTGTCCACTAACACCAAACACTGGACTTTCCTATAGAAACAGAAACATCCAAATAATGGATCACTTAGTGACTCAATTTACTTAAGTGTTTTTTTTTTTTTTTAAAGCATATTGTGTTATTTACGTTTAACATATCTCTATAAATAAGAAAATTAAAACCATATAGCTGTTACCCAATGAACAAAAATATCCTGTTCACAGTCTTATCATTCAATTTTTATAATACATGTTTGTTGATAAATTTCCCCTTTTTTGTACCATTACTATTCTGTTTCTAAAGGACTGGAATATGGAAATGGGGTATAAAACCTCTCACCTCTGATGATTATCTGCTTCAAGTTACACTAAATTTTTACCTCTGTTCAACTGTCCAAGGACAACCTAAACATGCTGATGATCTGCACAGATGTCATAGTGGATATATTTCAGTTTTATCAGAATCAACATCATAATTGGTAATATCTTCAAAATAGATATCTCTGCTGAATTGATACATGAACAATTATAAAGAACCGGGTTGGGAACCACTGGAAAACTAATCTAGAGCACATACTTTTTTTTCCTCCCCATATTTATTGAATCTGGAAGAGATCTAATTTGTGGACATTTTACATGGCCTGTCAAAGCAGCAGTTTAAATGTTTCAGTTCCCATAAACCTGCCAGCATTTGTGACAACCCTATAGTGACTACTCATGACATAACAGAGGGCAAGCTTCAGACAGAAAAATAGCTTCAGGGCCTTTAAAACTAGCATAATGATCTTTATCTAATGAACACCATGTCATGATGGAAACCTTTCATATGCAACAGAATTAAAATGCACAGGCGCAGGGGCTGGGGGTTTGATCCCCAGGCCTGCCATGCCTGCCCCGCCCCTGGGGTGCACTGAGATGGCAATTGAGATGGCATGGTGGCAAGCACCTGTGATTCCAGCTCTTGGAAAGCTGTAAACAGGAAAATCACTATGAGTCTGATCTAGTAGTGAGACCCTGAGACCCTGAACACCTTGAAGACCATTCTCTAAAATACAGGAAAAAAAAAAGTACTACACGGGCAAGGTAAATCAACTCTTTTTAGATGAAATACTTACAGGTCTGGGACACATATCTGGAGAGGAAATCTCTTCTTTTTCATCTTCCAATTCAGACCTTAAGTAGCAGACTGGAACACCAATGAATTGTTCCTCAAGATTTTGGGATCCATCTTGAGATGACACTTTCTTTTGATCATCATCAAGAAACTCCCTATTACTAAGCTGAATTTTCTCATTCTTAGCTCTCTTGATTTGCTGTAGTTGACTGAGTGTGTCCTTCACAACAACTTTTAGTAAGTTGTCTGCTAGTAAGCTGACTGTTTCTAGTTGTTGCTCTGACTTTTTTTCTTCATTGAGTGATGACTTTAGCTGGGCTTCTAACTGGTTTTTTTCTCTTGTTAAAAGGTCTAGAAGTGGGGTAGAAAGATTTTCTGAAACATCAGAACATACATTCTCTTCCTTTTCTGTAAATGGTTGTTGCTTCTGCATTTCTTCAGAAAAGGTATCATCTAAAGTATCATCTTCCGTAGCAATGGAAACTTTTTCTGTGACACCAAAAAGTTCTTTGTTACCCTTTAAAGATACCAGTGAACCCACTGAAGATTGTTGGTGAACATGAGCTTCATGTACTCCAGAAATGTCCCATATTTTGTCTGTTTCTACTTTAAGGCTTCTGTCTCTATCCACTGAGGTTTCTATGTTCTGTGTACTATGTAGAGATTTCTCATAAAAACATTCAACTGCATTGTTTTCTGTATCTTTTACACCCTCTGTATCTTTTTGCTCTTGATTAGAGTGTTGGTATTGTTCATCTGAATAACAATCTTCTTCATTTATGTCTATATAGTCATTAAAGTTTTCTAGAATGTGAGATATTTTTTGGGGAGGAGCAAAAATACCATGCTTATCTTTGCACACAAAATATACAATGCCATCATATGTTCCATTGTTATTTCCTTCAGGTTTATCTAACTCCACTCCAGCCCAAAATCCTTTAGCAAAACTAGTCTCACCTTTGAATCGAAGAGTTCCTGGCTGCACATTGCCAATCAATACCCTATCACCAATGTGGAAATCAAGTAACTCATCTGCAACAGGAACTGGAGCCAAGGGAAGGGACTCAGTAACTCTGAGTTCATGTTCTACATCACTACACTCCTTACTTTTCATCAGCTCAGATGGGGACTTGAGCTCTAACAGCCTTTCTGAATGGACACTGCTATGAACAGAAAGGCTTTTCTCACTCAGGCACTCACTGATTTCATCATCACTACCAAAGCTGATGGCTCTACTTCTAGAATTTGTTTTCTGTGACTTATCTCTGCAAAAGTAAGTCTCGTTCTTGAGTGACAACGAAGATGATGCCTCAGAGTCATCTTTATACAATTCAGGTGAAATTTCTTTCTTGAAAGACACTTCAAAATCTTCAGAGTATGACAATTCTTTAGGAGCAAAAAGATGTTCTGACAAAGAAGAGTCCCCTTCCATTTTGTTCTTTTGTTCAAGAATATCTTTTACTGGCTGGATGTCTGCAGTATGGTGATAACCTTCATCTGACTCTCTTTCTTTCAATATTTCCTCTTTTTTATGAAGACTTTCAATGGCCAATCTAATTAAATCTCGCTGAACATTCACAGAATCTGAAGGAAGATTTTTCTTTAAAAGAATTTCAGATGAGTCTCCCTGTTTCATTAAGATATCAGATGGTTTGGAATAGGCATCTTCAATCTCACCCCCTTCCAATTTTGCATATTCTTTTTGTGTTTCTGATTTTTCATTGGACTCTTCAATCTTAGCTTCTGACACATCAAAAATCCTATTAGGAGAATTTAGTTCCTTGAGAAGAGGTAATGAAAGAACATTTTCTAGAGAATCTCCAGATTCTGCCCTGGCTTTCCTTGATGATCTGAGGATTGGAGAAGGAGTTTGCAAATATTCTTCAGTTTGAATGTCCAATTCAATCACTTTCTTTGCATATGCAGACAAAGATCTTTCTGATCTTTCAGAACCTGACAATGAAGCATCTTAAAGGGGGAAAAAAAAAAAAAAAAAAAACCAGATCAAAATTATTTAACCACAATCTTTTAATTTCTAGGACTCAATTGAAAAGAAAAGCCAAATCCCAGTGAAGAAAAGCTCTAGTCAATAAATATGACCTATTTTAGTTACTATGTAAGTTTTTTATTTAAGAGAATATACTGAACCAGTAACAGTAACCAATAATATTTAAAAAGTTTAAAGTTTGGAACAATCCTTCTCTCCTTCCCCTTTGTCTCTCTGTAGTACTGGGAATTTGAACCAAGAGTCTTTTATAGCATGCCACGTCTGGGCTATATCTCAGTCCTTTTTTCATAATTTTCTTTTTCTTGGTTTTTGTCAGAAAAGGTCTCACTATGTAGTTCAGGCTGGCCTTGAACTCATGGTGATCTTCCAATGCCTCAGCTTCCTGAGTGTTACTCATAGGATTATAGGTGTCTACTACCTCTCCCAGCTTGAAATAATCTGAGTGTTGTCTTAACTTATGAAGTGAAGAGAAAATGGAACTAGATTTACAGAGTTCTGTATGACTATTTTCAAATTATGAACAAACAATATTGTGCAATGGCTATTACATATAACAATGGCTATTTCAAATAGGAAACCAAGGAGAAAGGGATAAATATATCTATACTTTTCTTTTTCCCTTTTGAGACAGGGTCTCATTATGTGGTTCTGGCTGGCCTTGAACTCTCAGCAATCCTCCTGCCTTAGCTTCCCAAGCACTGGCTTTAAAGGTATGTACCACCCTTTTATATTTCTAAAAGAGCAAATTTTCCTACAGAATACAACTAAGGCCTCAAACATTAAAAAAACAAACAAACAAACAAAAAACCCACAAATTGTTTCTGCAAATGTAGCACTTCAAGAGCAAAACTTACAAAATAAGAACAATGAATGATACAATGAGCTGATAAATTAAGCTTTTAATTCAAAACTCTAATAATTTTGTTGCTAGCACTAGGCAGGGTTTTTTTTGTATACCGGTTCTATTTCCTCATTGAATCATTTATTTTCAATATTTTTTCTTTGTTTTAAATTGAAAACAGCACATAATATAAATAAAAATATAATATAATATAATATAATATATAATAGCACAAATCCTTAGACAACACACATACAACTTATTTTCTCTAGTTACATACCAACATGCTCAGCAATAGACTGTAAGGATCCTCTGGAACGTTCTGGCTCTGTTAGTGATTTCCAATTTTTTGCTGTTTCAGATCTGAAGTAGGAAAATTAAAAAGCTGAAATAAATATATTGCTGATACTATAATAACTGGCAACAAAAAGAGGAATTTTTTTTTTTTTTTTGTAGTACCAGGGGATCGAACTCAGGAGCTTGTGCTTGCCAGGCAGGCGTTTATGCCACTGAGCTAACTCCCTGGTCCAAAACAAAAGGATTCTTAAGCAATCTTTTTCTCCACTGACAGTATTTCAAACTTGGTCACTTTCATCAAGCCTATTTCTGGTCCCCATGACTCTCTCTGGGTGATCTCCCCTCCCCTCCCCTCCCCTCCCTTCTCCTCTGCCCTCCCTCTTCTTTTTTCTTCTCTCTTCCCTCCCCCACTTCTCTTTTTTTACACAGGTCCTGAACTTGCTATGTAGCTCAGGCTACCCTTGAACTGGCAATTAACCTTCTGGCTCAGCCTTGCTTACAGGTGTGGACCACCATGCCTGGCTTTGCCTCTTTTTCTAACTATGAATTTACTTATATTCACAGCCATCCCAACTACCTTTTCTCCTAGCTGCTGTGAGAAAAAGATGTCTTTCTCACAGATGGTATTCCTCAATTATCTACTATCTTTATTAGAATCTTTAGCCTTCCATCTAGAAATTGCCCCCTGCTTATAAGTACGTCTCATGCTTCAAAAACACCCTCCCAAGAAAAATCACTCCCCATATAGTTTTCCCTCAATTTGTCATTCCTGTTGTCTATTCTTACTTTTCATATGAAACAGAAAGGGTGATATTTGCTATCATCATTTTCTTAGCTCCTCCTTATTTGCTAAGCCATCAAACTTGGCAGCAACTTCCTACCGCTTTTATAATGCCCACAAATGTTGCTCTTTTGCCATATTTAGTACTCAGATCCCTTTTTTTCCCTCTTTGAATGAATATTTTCTTGACTTCAAGCACTATCTATATATTGGTTATCTCCAATGACCTCTGACAACTCTATAAGCCAATTTGTATGAACTATGGCATGACCTCTGACAACTCTACAGGTCAATTTATACGAACTATGGCATCTCAAAATTATAAATTATAAGTTTCTCACAAAGCAAACCATTAATTTAGTGGAACCCTGACCCATGAGAAACCTGGGAGTCATTTATTTTATTTTTCTTCCCTATTGAGCACTTTAGTCAAATCTATGTTTTAAACATTCCTAAAGTGTATCCCCAGCTTTCTAATCTTATCTCCTGCTGCTCATTTGAGTTCTGGCTTACACTACCTTTTTTTTTTTTTTTTTGGCTTCTTAGTCTTTTTTTAATCTTTCCTCCATACTGTGGTCAGAAAGATCTATGTAAACACAAACCTATCACTCTCTGGTTAAAATCAATCAATCAATCTATCTATCTACTTAATCTTTTCTCTCTTATCTGCTCCTGCTCTTTTCCTCCCTCCCTCCCTCCCTTCCTTTTTTCCTTCCTTCCTTCCTTTCCTCTCTTGCCCACCTCCTCCTGTTTTTTCCCTTTCCCTCCCCATGCTGGGGTCTGAACCCAGGTTCTCACACTGCTAAGCACATGCTTTGCCACAGACCTACAACCCTAGCCCCAGGTTAAAAATTTTTAGCTGCTTGATAAGGAAAATTATAAAAGCTATTCAATAGAAATCAAAACAAAATTTAGCGTTGGTGGTATAGTGGTGAGCACAGCTGCCTTCCAAAATTTAAGGCATAGGTGACAAAAATAGAAACAAAAATCTACACAGAAAAACCTAAGAGGAATTTTATGTCTGTTTACATTTGCTATTTTGTGTACTTTTTTTTTTTTTTGGCTGAACCAGGGATTGAACTCAGGCCCTTGCGCTTGCCAGGGAAGCGCTTATTCCACTGAGCCATCTCCCCACCCCAACATTTGCTATTTTAAAAAGGATTGAGTATTTTATGTGTGTATGATTTAAACTTTTTATTGCTTGTCTATCTATTAACAATAGTAGCAGTTAGTATATAATGTTTACTGTGTTACAAAGCCTATTACAAATCTTTAAACTTTTACAAGTATATTAATCAAGTATCATTATCTTGTTTAATAGAAATATATAAATCCCTATTTAAAAACTGAAGCAGAGAGGTTAAATAAATTGCCCAAAGTTACTTGGCTAGCTGGTGCTGGAGACAGGATTCAAGCTCAAATATATTTAATTATAATGAGCCTATATTACATTTGTTTTGTGGGGGTTTTTTTTGGCAGAACTAGGGATTGAACTCAGGCCCTTGTGCTTGCCAGGCAAGTGCTTATTCAACTGAGCTATCTCCCCAGCCCCTGAGCCTGCATTACCTTTGTAACAAACAAAAAATCCCCAAATACTTTTGGAAAACAACCTTTGAAGGCTCCATATGTTGTAAAAGATAAAAAATAAATGAGTTACAATTAAGTATAGGATTTTGGAATTTAGGTTTTACTTACTTTTCTGCTAATTCTATCAACTGTGTTCACCTCTTATGGTACATGAATATATCTTCTGCTTTTGGTCATTTGTGAATGGCCTTCTCTGTGAAATGGCCCCATTGCTCAGTTACACTGACTGACCTAATCCATACTCACTCATTGTTCAAAAGATTTATTTTAAACATTATTACCTGACTATAGATTAAAAATGACTTTAATAACCCTGTATTTTAATATATTGTATATTCTAATACTGCCACTTACTAGCTTCTGCATTTGCTTAATGGTTATATAAATTCTATCAACTGTGCAGAACCATAATTACTGAGCTACTCCTCCAGTTTTGGACATAAACATTCTTTCTTTTTTTTTTGTTAACAAAATTATTTTATTTATGAATAATTCAACAGAGGTTATTTTCAGAAAGCTTAGTGAGGAAAAATTATACAATATAATTAAGACAATTAATGGTAGACTCAACAAATAGAGACTATGTTAAAATTTTTCAAAATTTCAAATTCCACCTCAATTAGTCTGTATGTCAAAACTATTCAAGTACCAAAAAAGAATTTTCATGGAGTTAAAGAATGCCAAAATTCATATAAAAGAATATAGCTCCTAGAGTAATTAATTATGTTTTTGCTTTGGTAATATTTTATTAATAATTTGTAGGATTTCTGTTCATAATGTGCTAGGTATCTATTACATAAATGTCCAATATTTTCCTTAGCAGGTAAAAATTGAAATTACAATTAATTTTACAAACTTGTCTCAAATCACTTGTTAAATTGTTTTTCCTTTTCTCGTTGACTTCTTACACTACTCTGTCATTTACAAAACTTATGCTGAGCTCTTTTCAAAAGTTTCTATTCTATTTTATTGTATTTTTTATTATGTCTGAGTGAATATTATTCTGTTCAGCAAATTATATTATTTACCACATTATTTGATTATTGTCATTTTTACACTTGATCTCAAAATCAGGAATTTCTTCATGAACATTATTTCTAATACTTTATGGATATAAAGAATGTCATGATAAATATACCCATGCAAATAGATTTTTGATATTCCATATTTTATTAAGCTAATTTTCCAAAAGTGAGATTACTGTGGTCAAAAGTTATTTAGTTTAAGAATCTAAAGCATTGCCAAATTGTATTTTGAAGTAGCAATGCCAACTTGTAATGCTACCATTAGAACTGTTAGTATTATTTCTTATGTGTCCCCCTAGGCTGAAGTGTTACACATATATTGAAAAAATCTGTACCATATTATAAATTTTTGTTTTTCATATTTTTTTTACTTTTATGAAATTCAAACTATAAAATAGCATCTTTATTTCTATAATTTCATAGGTACTTAAAAGATAAACTTACTTTCTCAAACAAGACAATACAAATAAATTATTAAAAATTCTTACCTGTGTAGTGGAGGAGGCTTGATCTTGGGTTTTTCAGAAGCTGTGGAGAATGTTTTAATCTGAGGTTTGGCTGTTGGTGATGTTTCCAAATCTCGGCTAAGCTCAGCTTCAGTTTTCTTAATGAATTCATCATATGACTAAGTTTAGAAAAAACAAAGAAGTTACTATGCAGAATTTTAAAAAACCCAAAAAACTAAAACTATGTCGTTAAAATAATAATTGAAAAATTTAAATAGCATAATTTTATTTATTTATCTGTGGCAGGCTCAGCCTACCCTGGGGGGTGGGGCTGGCGCAGCATGTGGTGCCAGGGATCGAACCACAGTCCCTATGCACTTGCCTAAACAGTTGCTTTAGACTGCTGAGCTACCTTGCTAGTCCCTAAATAGCATAACTTAAATACTCAACTAGTAAAGATGATATGATTAAAAATTCTCTCCTTGCCTCCTGGGTTTAATCCCCAGCAACATAAAAAAGGAAAAACAAAAACAAAACAAACAGATCACAAAGACAAGGAAAAACATCACAAAGAAGACAGATGTGAAGATGAAGAAGAGGGAGGAGGAAGAAGAAGGGGGAGGAAAAGAAGAAGGAAAAAATAGAGAAGAGGAAGAAAGGAGGAGGAGGAAGAAGCAATAACAGCAGAAGAAATAGAGGTAATTTAATATTTTCCACTGAGCTAATATGTAAAAGGACTATGATTATTCATAGCTGAAAGCTATACTCATATGAGTACAATCGACATATTAAATCTGTGATCAAATTAACCCCCCACCTCTGCACACTGGGGATTGAACTTGCTAGGCAAGTCCTCTAAGAGTGAGGTACATCCCCAAATCATTTTAAAATTTACAGAAAAAAAAAAAAAAAAGAGGGGCCGGGGAGATGGCTCAGTAGAATAAGTGCTTCCCTGGCAAGCACAAGGGCCTGAGTTCAATCCCCGGTTCCGCCAAAAAAGAAAAAAAAAAAGAAAGAAAAATTTCTGAGACAGGGTTGTTAAGTTGCCTTGGCCTGGAACACGTAGCCTCAGATTTCCAGATAGCTGAGATTATAGGCATGGGTCACTATGACTAGTAGATTTCTTTTTCACATGATCTGCTATGTATATTTCTATATCAGATAATATAATTTTAAAATTTAAGTACAAAAATTCTTTTATTTTTATTTAAGCCAATTAATAATTATGTTTTACTCACTTTTCCTACTTTTAACATCTGTGCAAGATATAGCTGCTTTATTCCTGTATTGTGTACCTGTACAGACGTTTACTCTAGATCTGTTAACAAGTTATTTATTATGTGAAAGACAGTATGATAGTAAGGACACAGGATTTGAAATGAAAACTAGATTAAAATCTTAGATTTACCATTTATAAGCTGTGTGTCCCTGAGAAAAATTATTAATTTTATTGGAACTGTTTCCATATCTATAAAATAGAGTTAACAGCCATGGCTTGTTGCTGTAAGGCTTGAATAAAAATTCTATAATTAGCTGTATTTGTGGCATGTAAAAAACATTGCAATTGATGATTAAATTACTAAACGCTAGAGAAACTTGAGTTACACATTAAAGACCAGAAGGTAGAAACGTATTTATTTTGTATTTTGTATTTTAGGGAAGGGTCTACAGGGTGCTCAGGGTCTCACTACTAGATCGGACTTGTGATCTGCCTGTTTACAGCCTCCCAAGAGCTGGGATTACAGGTGAGCGCCACCACGCCCAGTCTCAATTGCCATCTCAGCGCGCCTGAGCTGGGGCCTGCATGGCAGGCCCAGGGATAGAACCCTCGGCCTCTGCTCCTGCTTGCAGGCACTTTAATCCACTGAGCTATTTAGCTGACCCAAAAGGTAGAAATTTAAAAGTCAGAAACTTTGCTAAATATAAAATCTGCTTTCTAGTATGTATAGTCTAACAATGAAAGCCACCACATTTTGAAATTTCCATTACTGGAAGTTCAGGTAGAAACTATATGTCATTCAATGGTGATAACATAAGGAATTCTTGTGAAAAGTAGGAGTTCAGACTAATTCTATAATGACGCTGGTGATTTAGGACCTAGTGGTGGTGGACAGGATATGAGTAACAGACAATCAGCCAGAGGCAGGGCCATCTAAGAGACTATATAAATAATAGAGGCAAGAGGTCATAAGGGCCACAACTAGCTTGATGGCCTAGTAGGAACGGAAAGGTACAAGCAAAGACCTTTATAATAGACTCAGTAGGAACTGGCATTGAATGGATAGGAAGAAACAATATGGAAGACATCAAAGGCAGGTTTCTAGGCTGACATAGAATCAGAAGGTTCTTAGAGCCTGTAAGAACAGTCAAGCTAGAGTTTTTTGTTTTTTTTTTTGGCCTGCTCAGCCCACCCTGAAGGCGGGGCTGGCACGGCATGTGGTGCTAGGGTTCAAACAGCAGTCCCCCGTGCCTGCCTAAGCAGGCGCTTTATACCACTGAGCTATCTCGTTGGCCTAGAGTAATTATTTAGAAACCATTCAAATAGTATAAAGAATTATAATAAAATGTGGAAAATAAGCCCACTCTACTGAGGAAAAAGAAAAAGGCAGTAACAATTCCAGTAACTAGAATTATTTATCTAATAGTTCTTTGTTTAAGGCAGCACTGATATCAAACGTTCTTTATAAAAGCTTAATCTTTCTTTTTTGGGAATAAAGAAGGCCTCAAACTGAGTATTTTACTACCTAATATTTTATTTTATTATTTTTAAATCTTTATTTATTTGGTACAGGGTCTCGCTACATAGGTGGGACTGCTAGGATTACAGGCATGCGCCACCATGCCCAGTTTCAGTGGCTGGCTCAGCACGGGGCCAGCACAGCATGTGATATCAGGGATTGAACCTGGGTCCTTGTTCTTGCCAGGCAGGCAATTAGACCACCGAGCTATCTCACCGGCACCCACTACTTAATATTTTAATATTTAGCTTAATGTTTTAAGCAAGAACTGCTTAGATAACCTCAGAATTTTTTAAAGAGAGGATAAAATGTGACACCATGCTAATACTGAAAAATCCTACTTCATTACTCTATTAACAGTGTTAAAAACATTTTAAGTCCAACATGGCAGCACACACTCATTTTCCAGCTATCAGTCTGAAGCAGGAGGATTGTAATTTAAAGGCCAGCCTGGGTCACCATTGTTCTCAAAATAAAGTACTTTATGGATATACCTCAGTGATAGAGCAATTGTGTAGTATGTGGAAGGCCTTGAGTTCAATCCCTAGTAGCAAATAAAGGTGGTCTTGGGTAGCTCAGCAGCACAGGGCCAGTGCTTGCCTGGTAAGCATAAGTTTCATTCTCAGAACCAAAAAAAGGGGTGTGTGTGTGGAATTCATATATGCATTAATCTTTATATTCAATCCCCTTTTTTCCTGTGTCTGACCTCTAACTGTTTAATCAGACTGGCTTCTTGTGCTTTCAGTCTTTCCTTTTGTCTTTTTTTCTGTTCCTTCTTCAACTGATCCACAACTGATTTTCTTTTCCGCAGCTCATCCTTCAGAGCTCTGATCCTACCTTCAATGTCACTCTGGTCAGATGTAGTTTCTGAAAAAGATACAAAATATATTATTTAATTTTAACTAAAGAATAAAGTTAATAAATACTAATGAAAAGCTGTAATGTTAACAGTTCATTTGAAGTCAACTACTTTAAGACATTTGAGCTTTTTAAAAAAATGTATTTGGTACAGTGTCTCACTACGCGGCTCAGACTCATAATCCTCCTGTTTTCAGCCTCCCCAGCACTGGGATTACAGGGGTGTGCCACCATACCCGGACTCTTGTCTCCTGTCACTGGCTCAGCGCACCCGAAGGTGGGGCCAGTGTGGCATGAGATACTAGGAGGACATGTGAGCTTCTGAAAAAATTTATTAGTGAAATGCATCCTTTATTTTCCACAAATCCTTCCTTTTTCTTTTGCCTTGATTCTTCCTGTTTATTTTCACTCTCTAATGACATTATTTAAAATTATAAATAAGTCTGGAGGTGCCTTTCTTAGTAAAATATGTAACTAAGGTTAAAAATTGTTGGGTTAGTAAAATTTTTATATTTGGCAAGGAATTATTTCTGGTAACAAGATAATCAAAAATTAACTGTTCTTTCCCTTAATCTTAATGGATATTTAATATCTTAAAGTGGCATTAAAATCAAACTAAAATTTTATCATTTCAAATTGACTATAAATCATTAGCTCATTCCTTAAATCACATAAAAGATAGAAATTAAAGAAATATATTCTGCTGTAAAAATCCCTCCCCACAACACACACATACCCGGGATGGAACCCAGGGCTTTTACATTAAGCTACATGCCCAGCTACCCTGCTACTCTCCTTTTCTTGTGAATGGAAGAGTCTTGTGTAAGCAAGTCATCCAGGCTGGGCTCAAACTTTCAACCCTCCTGCCTCAGCCTCTAAGAATGCTAGGAAATACAAATGGTAAGTAACTATATGAAAAATGCTCAACATCATTGATCATTCGAGAAATGCAAATTAAAACAACACTTAGATTCCATCTCACCCCAGAAAGAATGGCTAACATCAAGAAATCAGCCAATAACAAATGCTGGAGAAGCTGTGGAGAAAAAAGAACCCTTCTGTACTGTTGGTGGGAGTGCAGACTGGTTCAACAATCACTATGGAAATCAGTGTGGAGATTCCTTCAAAAGCTAGGATTGGAGATCCCATCCAAGCCAGCTATTCCCCTTCTGGATATTTTTCCAGACATAACCTTTTCTTTCTTTCTTTCTTTCTTTCTTTCTTTCTTTCTTTCTTTCTTTCTTTCTTTCTTTTTTTAAAAAAAGTTCTTAAGATATTTAATTTTCCTGAAATGAAGATGATTAAATCTTATTTTCTCCCCAATAGTTCATGTATACACGAGACATCCACTCATGGCAACATCACAAAAAGACATGTTTTTATTATGTATCATACACATGCTATGAAAACAAACAGGCATTATTTAAAGACACTGCTTATTTCACTATACATAGAAATGACATAGCATATAAGTGACTGTTCCTTATACCATCTCTTGGACTCACAAAATGTTGTTTATACACAGTGATGCTGAATGAGAGATTTAATAGCCTAACAACTGAAATACTATTATAAATCTGAAGACTCAGATGCGCTGTACAATACCTCTGATATAATTTTATATCATAAAATCAGGTCTTTACTAGGTACTTCAGATTAAACTGCCTGAGAACTAGTCAAGGAATTAATTGAAATGAAAAAAGAAGATAGTCTTATTAAAATAATGTGATCCAAATGCCTGGGCTAGAAATAGCAATCTTAGTTCCTGTCACTACAGTAGTAATAGGGACTTAAGGTGCACTAGGAAAGTTTTCCATGCTTTAAGCCAGCAAAGGCCATTATATTGACCCTTGCATGGATAAAGCTCACAATTTATTGATCAGTACTGATAATGATATAATGATAAAGACCATTTCTTAACTTTGGACTTATTACTTAAATGTTTGATCCTGACCAATATCTAGAACTGGTGTGAAGATAAGGTATGTGAAACATGTGGCGCAGTTCCTGAATATTATGAAAACTCAAAACATAAAAAGTAAAAAGACAGGGAATCAACCTAAAATGAAGTATATACAGTATACACGATAGCACTACCTCCCAAGAACAAAATTCTCTTTATAACAACATGAGTAAACCTGGAAGACATTACATCAAGTAAATTAAGCCAGGGGAAAAACGGACACATATCACATATTATGGCTTATATCTAAATGTATCCTCTCAAAGCTTCATGCAATTGTAGATGGGGCTTTTGGGAAGTGATCAGATCATGGGCACATGATATGCATTGGTGGATTAGAGGGGTGGGGCCTGGCTAGAACAAGCAGATTACTGAGGTTGTGGCCTCGGGAGTATCTCCCTGGCTCTAAACTTGGATCTCTGCTTCCTGGCTGCAATGAGGTAGGCAGATTTTGTTCCGCCATGCCCATTCGCTGTGTTGGTTCCTTTGGAACTGGTAGATCATGGAGTGCAGCCTCCTTTAAGTTGAAGGCCACAGATACTGTTTCTTACCAGTAATCTCATTTATATATAAAATGTAAGTCAAATTCACAGAACTCTGTGCTAAAAATAATCTAAGATGAAGTACAAATCCATAAAAAGTGTACTTTTTGAGCTTTCATAATATTCCAAGAACTATGCCACATGTTTCACATACCTTATCTTCACACCAGTTCGAGATATTGGTCAGGATCAAACATCTAAGTAATAAGTCCAAAGTTAAGAAATGGTCTTTATCATTACATCATTATGAGTGCTGATCAATAAATTGTTAAATAGATAGATAGATAGATAGATAGATAGATATTGCATTTTTTTAGCCAATTAAGATTTATGTGCTTCTAAAATTTTAGGCACTACGTTACACCATTACATTCCAACAACTAAAGTCAAAAGGCAAAATACTCAATATGGCAATATTCAATGTAGTATTCTTCTTCTTCCTAATTCTATTTAAACCAAGCACTGTCTCTGTAGATATGTTTCCCATGATCAACAAGTTCCTTGAAATCTTTTAGAATAGAGGCTAGTCTGTTTATTCTTTCATAATCTAAAGGGCAATATGGTAGGGAAGAGGCTGTAGGAAAACACAGGCTATGCCTCATTGCCATTGTGGTCTGTTACTTCTTTTCTTCCTTTGAGACTTTTGCTTTCCTGTACAACCACCTTTTATTTCTCTTCATGCTTATCATGAATTTATTCAAGAAATATTTAATACATACTTACCATGTGCAACCCAAAGTACCTGCTAGGTCCTGGTGCTACAACTGTTAAGAATGTATATAGACCCCTCTCTCCAGGAATTTAGTAACGGAAATCTGCTGGGCAAAGTTGTGGCTATAATTTGTGTGCTGTCTTGTATGACACGCTGAAGTACAGAATGATATGCAATAAATGTCTACTAATACATGAGAATAAAAATTTTGCCAGGGTTTTTGAAATTAGGGATTTAATTATTGACAAGCAAAGAAATATGTGATTTAATCTTGGCAAGAAAGAAGCATTTACAAACGCAACAAAGGATAACACTCTACTTATGGTTAGATAAAGCTTACTGAAAAACAACTCAAGCACAAGGGCCTGAGTTCAATCCTCGGTTCTGCAAAAACAAACAAACAAACAAACAAAAAAACTCAAATATTGTACTAAGAAAAATTCATTATAAGTTTTACCTGATTGTGTCATAGATAATGATTCATCAGACCAACTATAGCAATGGTGATGGGACTTCATAGGAAGGTGACATTGTCCTCCAGTCCTATGACTTCCTTTGCTTGACTCCTGCTTTGTCACAGATGTACAGCTTTTGGGAGGGGACTATTTAAACAGAAAATGAAATGAGAATAGAATTATTCTGTGATATAACTGTGAAATTCTATTTAAATTTGAAATCCTAGCCAATTAAAGATACTATTTACAAGGTATTTTAAACCACCATGACAAAAAATGAAAAGTTTTTACAAATGCTATAGGATAAGACTTCCAACTTTTTTTAAAGGCAAAAAAAAGTTACAAAAGTATGTTTTTTAAAAATGTACAATACATTTAAAAGTGGTTGTTATGTCAAGTGTTATTTACCCTCCCAAATATTTTAAAATACAATACTAAACATATACTATTGTTATGGAAGAGGGAAAAAAACAGACCTAAGATTGTCTACAAGATTATCATGAAAAATTAATTTCTACCCTGACATCAAGAGGCAGAATGTCTGACTTGATTCCCTGCTACCATCACTTTCTACCCCTATGACTGTTGGCAAGTTCCTTTAAAGCACAAATTACAGCAATCTACTCAACTGTTGGACACATTAGATGAAAATCCACTAGCTGGTATTGGGTGAGTAAACACTCCTTTGAGACACTACACACACACACACACACACACACACAC